ATAGCAGGAAAGCTAGAAAGCTGAAATTTTGGAGGGATATTCCCTATAGAAGTACAACTCAAATATTTCAAATTCAGCCCCCAGCCATGCGTGGTACTCACGTAAGGGAGTACGAAAGTTTCTGCAGGAAAATTACTAACTTGGCAACCAGAACAGCTGGAAGGCTGAAATTTTAGGGTGATGTTTCCTGTCCACGTGCAATTCAAAAATTTCAAATTCAGCTTTCCAGGTACGTAAGTATCCACGCACGGACATGTAAAATTTTTGGCGGGAAAAATGCTAACTCGGTATCCAGAAAAGCTGGAAGGCTGAAATTTTGGAAGAATATTCCCTGTCCAAGTACAACTCAAATACTTCAAATTCAGCCCCAAGCTATGCACGGTACTTACGTAAGGACTTTTGAAGGTTTCTGCGGGAAAATTACTACCTCAGCAACTAGAAAGCTGGAAGGCTGAAACTTTAGGAGGGATGTTCCCTGTTCAAGTACAACTTAAGTATTTCAAATTCAGCCTTGAGTTAAGCGTGGTTCTTGCGTACGGGCACTTAAAATTTTGGCTGAATTTCTGACTGAGCAACCAGGTTACTTTTAAAGAACGACTGTTAAATGAAAATTGTACATTTATTTTGCAAAATTTATGGTAATTTATGCTAGTGACCGCAAAATGTAGGTGTAAAGCAACAGTCATTCATGCAGTTAATGACCTGAGTACTTCAAGCCCGGTGCAAGAACGCATGATCACACGGGCCCGCTCGATGCGTTCCAGCCTGGGTTATCATTTATTACCATCAAATCGAATAAACGATCCGTGGAAGGACTGAAAGTTCCACCGACGGAGTCAAAACTTTCCATCTTTTCTAAGACAACAGCGTTATTTCCCACTACGTAATGCGTGTGAAAATGAGATAATGCGTACTTACGTAAAAGATGGTTGGCGTGCTGGAAACATTATGTACCATCCGTCTGCAACCTTTACAATATAGCGTCACTTGATCCTGCTTCCCATCATTTCGATTCGTTCGATGAACTCGATATTCATAAATCGCCCGATTTGCAAAGTAAGCATCCTAAAAAAAGATGATCCTGAGCGTTTAATGGACCAAAACGTCTTGTCGCGCTTTTTTCTCAGCCCTCTTACAGTCGTGTGCGCAAATGAAGTAATAATTAAGCGAGTAATTAGCTCA